CTCGCTCTCTCTCTCTCTCTCTGTCTTTTCTCTCTCCCCCCTTATCTCTCTCACCCCAATGATAAACCCTTCCAGTCCCCCACTGCTACCGAATTTCCCGCAGCGCCCCTATATGCGACCACTTGGCCACGTTTCCGCAACAAACGGGAATATTCCGCAACCTATGCTAACCTACTCCCATGCTTCCTTAAATACTTGCCGGATACCTAGCAATTACCCTGTCATCGTGCTATACCGACAACCTATATCAAACATGCTGAAATTTGCGTCCCACCTTCGTCCAATATCGAAAAACGCTGCACGCTGTACCCTCCGCAAATACTACCCAATTAATAATAAAACGGGCGTGTCACCCGACCCCCTGACATCTTTCACTCCTTATGCTATAATAACCTATGCAAAACGCCTCGGATACTCTATAGTACACAAGTACAAGGTAACGATAAGTTGTAGCAATTTAATGGATCTCCTATCAATTAACACAGGTGTGACTCCACGTAACCCCGTTTCCTTATAATGATATATAAAGTTGCGAAATATTCGCAAGTTAAAGATTTAAAATATAAAATATAAAATATAAAACATATAAAATACAAAAGGTAAATTATACATATACGTACTGTATAGCAAACTAAAAATAAGAGACTTTTTTACCAAAAGTTAAATCATAATTTAATGATAATTTAATAGAAATTCATAGTACCAAGCAACGGACTAATTTCGCACCAATCTTTTCTATAATCTATGGCTTTCCGGTACCAACTCAGATTGACCCCCTAAATGGCCGCTACTCCCCGCATATAATGGCAACCCTCCACCCCCCAATCGATACGCAAAACAACCATTCATAACTTTCCATAAATATCAAAGTGCCTCGGACGACAGATCTCCATGGAACATGTTTTTTTATATAAATATAATACCTGATGAGGACGGACCCCATCACCCGCTTTCACCGGCTTTGCTATCACTATAACAATACCGATAGTACCACTACGACTATTCCGTTAATGTTTTTTTCGAAGGGAATCGAACGGCTTACAGCTGATCTACCTACCCGAATAACCACCAGTAACTAGCGTTGTCCACCAATGATCCCCTATAGATTATCTACCCACACCAACTATATGCTCTCTGCAGAAACTGTATTACTACAAAAACCCGCTATTCCTGTATGTAACACGAATACAGTTCACATAAATTATCCTTACAATAATATTCCCAAACAAATAATATATATAAAAATAAAATAATTAAAATTTAATGTAAACTACAAGCACGCATAGCTTTCGATAATTAAGATAGGCCCCCGAACTATCTGCCGAAACCCCAATATAACAGACAGACACCAGCCTTGCCTCGGGCACCCCCCTGACCCTGGGCGGACCATGGCTTGCCTAGGACCCCTCCATAACTATACATATAATAAGGATCTCTACTTATAAATATAAATTAACTTCCTTAAAAAATAAAAAATAAAAAATAAAAAATAAAAAATAAAAAATAATAAAAAAAAAATAAAATTAAAAAATAAAAATATTATTGTTCTTTTGAATATATATATATATATATATATATATATAAATATTGGTACCACCTGCAGCCGTGTACCCTGAAGCAACCGTACAATGTTATAAATCAGTCGAACCTAGGTTCCCCCTAAGACTCAGGTATGCAACACCCCCTCAGGCCTTCTTTACTGCAACCTTACTGATAAGAAATCCACAACTATACTTCAAATCAAACGATGACCATCAAAACACAACCGTTACACTATATCCTTCCCCCGATTCGAGCAACATGATCTTGACCCTGCATGCAACACAGTTTATCTTCGTCATTGCCTATAGATAACAAATATACCTACGTATACAGCGCCCAACCTGCGGCTGCTCCCAGCATCTCATACTAAGGCACTTAGGACCCTTACCCCCCCTATAACCATACTCCCACATCGTATGAACACTACCAACAAGCATACACTAACTCTCGATGCGCGTATGTWACGTTGTGCAGGACCAAGACAGTATTCAGATGGGATGGCACCCGGAGCTGGTCACGACTATTAGACCATTCTCCGCACTCAAGCCCCCCAACGTTCACTGTCAGATAGGCATGTTGGCTATCCCTGTTGATGTCCTCCTACGTGTACACCAAGCTTCGAACGGGCAAGCTCCCTTCCTCATAGAGAACCTGTCCTTCAGCGACTGGGCCACAATGGTTGCTGTCATGCAAACCAGACCCCATGAGCTCGAAGATAAGATCAAGGAGCTTGCCGCCAACATCGCAGAAGTCTGTAGAAAGTCTGCAATCGAGAACAAAGAATTGAACCTCATCGTTGCTAAAGCTGAGAAGATCCTCCTCGAGCTCCACGAGTATGATACCTCGCATCTGGACTGCGCTGGTCAGATATCCACGAATGACACCTCAGAAACCTTCACAGACACCTACATTAGCAGCATTGCACTTACGCCTGCAGAACTAGATTATCTCAAGAAAAAGGAGGCCTTGAGAAGGGACAACGCCTACATGGAGATCTCCAGTTCATCCAACGAAACCAGCCACAAGCTCGGCAAGAACAACTCCTTCTTGCCACTCGCATCAAGCACGTGGACAGAAAAAGTTGTGCAGAAGGTCCACAACAGGCTTTGGAAGCTGAACTCCTTTAACTACACAACACCAATCAGTGTGGACGCCTACATGGCGCTCGCCGGCCTGAGTAATACGGACATAGACAACTGTCGAACAGCTGCCAGGAACGCTACTATCCACTTTCCGGCTGGACGTGCTGGCTATGACGCAGACTTCCTGTTGATCGCCAAATTGGAGAAAGGCAAGTGTCCTAAAAAGCCGGTGTTGCACCAGAAAGGCATCCCTAGGTTTCCTGCAGATCTGCTTGAACTGAAGAAGCTGTGGAATGCCGGAAGACCCTTCCTCAAGTGCGCATGCAACGGTTGCGAACTGAACTTCACATGGCTTGACCACATGATTTGGTACATCATCGGTAACCTTGACAAGCTGGATCCGAATGCACCATCAGACAAGATCCGCATGCTCGAATTCCAAGCCCTGCTGCGCACAACTTGGAAGAGAACGATTCTGGCCCAGATTACGTTCCTGTCCAGATTACGTGCACCTCATCACGCAGAAGAAGAACATCTCCGCTGATGAAATCCTCGCCTTTGAAGATTTCCAGAACGTGCCTTTCGTACGGAAATTCACCGCGGCTCTCCTCCCTAACGCTGAAGGACTGCTCACACCAGAGGCCACCAGAAGAAGCGGCACCATTGACTTTGAAGATAACTCATTGCGTAGATGCCGCCAGATGCGACTTGGAACCCCTGCCTCGTCCTCACCCGTAGCACAATCATCCACTGCGCAAGCACCACATGCAACCACCAGTGTGCACGCACCGTCACCATTGCCAAGCATGACCAATATATATACGCCAGTACACCTTGCCTCTCCACCTGCCTCCAATCCCAGACCACACACTGCTGCTCCAGACGCAACACCCCAGCCACTAAGAGAACCTGGTTTGACTGCTCAACCAACACCAGCGGATAGCTCCCACCCCCCTCGAGTCTCCCCAACTAGGCAAAGACACGACACAGTACACACATCGCACAACAACCAGAACACACAACAGAACCACGCATACCCACCACCCAACAGTCACCCTGCACTGCAACCCAGTACGCAAACTGGCCCTCAGCCCATTCCCATCGCCAACCCCCCTGATCTGCAACCCCCCAATGCCCCCACCACTCATCCCCTGCAAATGAACGCCTTCACCTTCGCCGCAGCTCAGCTTGCCGCCAGAAACATCACCCCCACTAACCCGAGCACGTCACACACATACCCCTTGTTCTCAGTACAAGGAACTGCCACCACAAACCTCTTCACTGCTCCCAGCATACTGCCCACTGCCTCAGCCCCCACACCGCTCGACAACACCAATTCCACCACACAACGGCCTCCTAACGTAGTCACAGACGCAGAAAAGCGGGCACAGAGGAGGGAGCAACTGCTTAGAATTGCAATGAACCCGCTGCCCGCTGAGAAAAGAAGAAACACCCGAAGAGGAAACAGGACCACCAGACTGAACACACAACAGAACGACGGACAGAAGCATAAGAGGGCAAGGCGCAACACTCAGCAATACGATCACCGACAACCATACATGGATGACATCTTCCATGCACAGGCACAACGGCATAATGTCTTAACCGCCCACTCGTTGCCCCTGATGACAGCCCAGCAACGCAACTGTGCCAACTCCCCCGGTATTGCTGCTGAAGTCCCAGCACATCCTGCCCAACCATCGCAGACCGCTCGCACCTGGCTTCCACCCACAGCGCAACTGCTACAGCAATGGCCACAGCACCTCGCTGATGGAAACGTACCGCGACAGCCGACTGCACAGCCGAACCCCGAAGTCATCCCAGTAAGCAGCAACGAAATCTTAGATGGTGGCAGACCACAGCTCCCAATCACCATCAGCTCACCGTCTCCAGAAACGCCATTGCGACCTACGAATGATGTTGAGACTCTGAGGCACAACTACGGTGCCAGCAGCGCTGAATCATCACTCCTCCATACTTCCAGCAACCAGACAGCGCTCGGCACCGAGCCCACGTCTTCGGAAGAATCATGGAAAAGAGTCTGCCGCAGGCTCAGCCCAGATTATCTGGCCGGCGCCACAAGTATTGCAAGAAGCTGATTGGCCACATGATGACACAGACAAGATTAACAACGCGTTACCATGTCACCCGTACCATGTAGTGATAACCTCTACTAGTTGAAACATACCTTCTTCTGCTATGTACCTCTTGCTCTCACCCTCTATGACCCTCGCTTGCTCGTGACTCCCCTGCCATCTCTCTTTCTTCCTCTTTCCTTCCCCTGCATGATCTCCACTGCCCCCCTTCCACCCCTCTATCCACCTCATTGATCCCACTGATGTTCTTCCCGTTCCCCTCCCACAACCCCTGTCCTTCGCTCACCCCTTTCTTCCAAGTTTTCTCTTAATCTCTATTGCTCCCTATCTCGCTCCCCTGGATGTTACCTTTATACCTTCTTATCCTACCGCCCGCTCCCGCTGCTTGTTTGCACAACGAGTTCCAGTACCACTTCAAATATAGCTTCAGGGGACTGACACCTTACTTGATCAACATCATGCATAAATACCTTAATAATGCTTTTATCAAGTAAGCTTGTTAGCACCGTAGGCAAACTGATAAATAATACGCTTGCTTCTTTTAATAATGGACTAAAGATTGTACGCTGGTAAGATGGTAGCCTCTATTTTTTTCTGATCATACTGCAGCAAGACTCTGACAGACCACAAAGTTTGGCTGGTCTAATGTTCACGGCCCCGCACCCTGACTCGGTTTATCAGAACTCTGTTTTTGCCCTGAGCTGTTATAAATGCTACTCCGTTTCAATAAGATGGTTTAGTGTTACGTTACCAGGTACATTCAAGACAGCCTTGCTGGCCAGTTTTCTGCTTCTTGCGGTTCTCGCACCGGACTATAAAGAACCCTTGACTATTGTTTGCCTTGATGTACGCCTCTACTCTCTTGTTCTTTAACATGTTTTCTGGTTACTTTAAGTATGTTTTTTTTTTTTTTAAATTGCAGTATTTTCATGAGTTACTCGCCATGACCGATCCCGGAAAGTCGGTAGCCTATATGTGACATAGCAGGAGGACTCTGGGTACAATTGCAAAGAGTCCTATTCCTAACAGACCTCAGAAGTTGGTCAGCGTAATATTCACAACCTCGTACATTGAGTCAGTAGATCAGAAAACTTTTCATTGCCATGTGTGTTAAAAAAAAAATTCTCGTATCTACCCATAAAGTATCCTCTTTTGCTGAACCCTTGCTTTCTTCCTTTCTTCTTTTCTATTCCTCTTTCCTTCTTCTTCCCCTCCCTGGTTTCTTCTTTCGTTGTTTTTTTGTAACTCCTTGTTGTTAACCGACCTCGAAATACTTCTGTTGTATCCCCCTTCGCTACCAGACAGGACACACCCCACAACTAACCCTAACTCTGCTATCTGAAATATTGCCATAAGACGCCTACTCAGCCAACGCACGACATCAAATTCCTAGCATCCAAGCACCTGAAATCCGCCCCAAACGTTTTTTTCGCTTATCTCTGCAAAAATAATAAATCATCAATAATGCACTCCCTGGGCACACCCGAGATAGTAAATCCCAAACTAACCCACAGCCTGTACCTAAAAAACACTGCGATACCACAACTGTTACACTTAGTAAAACAACCCCCCCAAAAAAAACCACAGTCTGTACCTAAAAAAAACACTTCGATACCCAAACTGTTACCCTTAACCCCCCCCTCCAAAAAACAAAACGTCACATAACCTTCAAAGCCCAACTGTTCACAATAAATCCCAAACTAACCCACAGCCTGTACCTGAAAAACACCTCGATACCACAACTGTTACACTAAACTAACCCCCCCAAAAAAACATTACATAATTTTCAAAGCCAATATAACCTCGACCCAATACGTACCCACAACTCAACACCACATCAAAAAAAGAGGTACTTTCCTAGTCAACACAAAACCCTACTTGAAAACTTACCACATACTACCTACCAACAGACACCTGGCGTTCCCTCAGCAGCTAAAAAACCTTAAGCAGGACGCCCGCCCTATATATCACAAGTACGAAATACTGATACCACACACCGGTTCAACAACGGTTAACCCAACATAGACCCAACTGCTATCTAATGTACGTAAATGACACTTGACATGCTGTGTGTGCAGGTGCATCGACTACAGACCATGGAAGATGGAAGACTTGGCTGGAGAGCCCCCGAAGAAGATAGAAAGATCATTATCCCATGCTGTTACCCCAACTGGTTAATTGACAGACTCAAGTTCAGAAAAATATTCGATAAAGTACTGGAAAAATATAACCCACTCGCACTTCCGCTCCTAAACGGATGCACGTTCTCCTGGACCTATAACAACCACATTGCTAAATCCTTATATAAACCCGCTGCTGTCTTCCGTGATTTCACCCTCACTGAATGGATAAATCAAACACAAGGGAAATGCTTTTGCCAGCATCAAAGGTATGATGCTTTCACTACCTCTCTACCACCGGAGGTCATCCAACCAGAAAACGGGGACCATGTCCTCACATTGGACATGAGCATTATCACCAACAAGGAATTGCAGAAACTTACCCGATGCGGACTAAACCACATCCCCGCACAAACCCCCAACCAAAAGGACACCATTGATGCCGCCCACCAAGTATGGGAAGCTCTAATAAAAACACTGGAACAAAATGGCACCCCCATACCAAACGAACACAGGCCTCAGGCTAGCAAGGAGTTCTTGGACACCATACTCCGGTTGACCTCTAACATCCGACACCATTGGGAAACTAACGTTAACGAACATGCAATCAAACATGAGATAAATTTCCTCACTAAGCACTTCTACATTTCCGGTGCTGACAAGGCACCAAACACACCTGTGGTAATCTGCATCAACCTTGTAAGACAGCTAGCCCTACAAAGGCTTACCAGCCCAGACTTTGAACCCTGCCTATGCACTACCAACAAGCTGCTCAGACAACTTGAGTTGGAAATGTCCTCTACTTTTCCAGACATTCCGCTTGGTAAAAAGACAGTAACCTACCTCTTTGCCACTTACAAGAAGCACAAAAACTCCTTCCGATGGTTAACCAATGCCTCAGACATCATATCATCCCCCCTTGCAGACCTCGCCGCTGAGATCATGAAAACACTGATCAAAGTGGTGAAATTGCACTGCGGCGGATTAACACAGCAAACCTTCACTAAAACTGCCTTGAAGGTCCCATACTGGTGGCCCATAGATTCGACAGCGGACTATGTCTACAACTTACCACCGCAAACACAGTCTGTCTTTTCTGCAGATATCACGAGATGTTATGAAACCATTCCCACTGATTGTAGCCCGGATGGACTTCCTAAAGCTCTTTTGTTCTTTACAAAGTTGGCGTCCCAACAAGCCAAGGCAATCTATGGTGGAGGAATACAGGTTGCCTTCAAACTCTATTACAAAACCGACCAGATAACCCCCCACTGCGACTGGTTTCACCACACTCCCCCCAGGCACTTAATTCTCAACTGTGAAATAGTATGCGCCATCAACAATTGGCTCATTGCTAACGCATACACGTCACTTGGTAACGCAGTCTGGAAACAGACACTTGGCATCCCCATGGGTAGTAAGCTGCTCACCGATGTGGTGTAATATTTATTTTTTCAAATACGAATACAAATTCATGAAAAAAATCACTCACAAGGCTAACACGCACCGACTTCTCTTGTTTCAACATGTGTTCCGATATTTCGATGACCTCCACATCATTAATAACCCTAGAATACATGAATTCCTCAACCCCGAAATCACAAGCACAAGAAGCAAATACTTGCTATACCCACTACACCTTATCACCATTAACGAACAAACCACAGAGAAAATGAAAAGCAACAACAGGGATATCGGCATCAAAACAAACGTCCTCAACACTACAATTGAAATCACTAACCCCACCACTGCACAATACAAAACCTACAAATATGACAAAAGACGGGAGTTGGGCTTCCCGATCACCCGATTCATACGAACACATTCTAACAGACCAACACAACAATCACTAAACCTTGTCATCCCACAAATCATCACGATAATGCTCATTGAAACTGATGAACAACATGCGGCCTCTGAAATCCTACATACTGTTAACTGTCTAGTGCATAATGGATTCCCAAGGCATAGACTGCTAGGCATTATCAATAAAATATTACAACACCCAGAAGAATACCAACCTTTCCGATGCCGCCCACAAACCGTACTACACCAGCTTCAAAACAGTAATGTATAGGCAACACAAGAACAAAAAATAATAACACGTGTGTTATGTAGCCAAAACTGGCTTGGTTTGGATGGAGAACCTACCCCGAGTGGGGTAGGTCCTTAATCCAATACAAAAAAAAGACCTACCCCATCCGCTCCTCCATTACGAGGGAACGGGGAGGGACACACACACACACACACATACACACATATTCACAATTCAATTGCTTATTATATTTGTATTTTCTTTTTTTCTTTTTGTCTAGAAGGCTTCTTGCTAACTTTTCTAAGAGTAAGCAAAAAGGTTTTTTTCAACAAGAATATTTAAAGTTTTAAGCTTCCATAAAAAAAAAAAAAAATAAAAAAAAAAAATAATAATAATTTTAAAATTAAAAAAATAATAAAAAATAATTAAAAAAAATTAAAAAGTAAAACTATAAAATATTAAAATATTATATAAAAAAAAATAATTATTAAATAATGATAAAATAATAAAATAATAAAATAACTGAAACATATACATACAAAAATATAAAAATACACCTGTACATTGGTAATAAACAAACTAATTTAAGCCTGAACCTAGCTATCTTTATACTAAAAAAGAACACTGTTTTCATGAAATAAGGCCTCCGCATAGGCCATGCTCCCCCCAATAAATGACGGATACACGATTTCACAATACAGCGCACACCACACCTCCCACAAATTGGAAACGCTAGCAATTTATGCACAACTTACATCGACCGAAATACAGTTATGGGTCTGCGCAGCAATAAACACAATAGCGCAGATAACTTAACTAYAATTATACAAAYTTCACGCGCTACGCATAAAACGTTTCGCACACGGTACCACACTACCAAACAAAATAATGGTACAACCCACAGTACCACCACCCTGAAACGACACAACCAGGCACGGGACGAAAAGACAAAAACCYACACACGATGGACAGAAGAAGAAACGACAAACACCYGCTYCCGCCATAGCCAAAACTCTCCCCTTTAAAAAAACGACAGACAACAAGACAAAACCCCAYGGGCCGATACACGTACAGACAAAAGAAGAACTGAACAACCCTGACATCTTGACGACCATACCCACGCACATAATTACCGACTGCAATCCCACTACGACTCCCCCCAAAATCTCACSAGAACSCACACCCCATATGCACGTACCTATTGACCTCACCCAAAGGATTACATCACCTAGGCCCGTCACTTATGRTAAAGATAACATACGCARATACCCCCCCTACCCATTGCAAAATTAAGAAGGTCGCTAAACAAGAAGTCACTACACGCTGCTTTTACCCCCCCGTATCCGATTGCGCCACATACACCGCTCATTTCTGTGTAACAAACTCTGCCAAAATGGAGCTCCCACCCTTACACCCAAACTACCCAATCTATGGCATACCCTCCTTAATAACTTTAGTATTCCATCATATACCATTTACCCGCAGGTTTCATACCCTCTCTGCTATGCATCTTTCATGCAAGAGTTACGGTTGTTTCCATAACCGCTGYCGCCCCCGTGCGCTAACGCACGAGTTCTCGCCTGCATGACCAAAGCGACCATCTCCCTCACGGCTCAGTTGTTCCTCCTGTAGGAAGAGCTGTTCACCTAACTGTTCCTACTCTGGGTTTCAGTGAGTTCGTCCGCCCACCGGACGATCATCTTACGCTAAAAACGATCTAACGTCTCATTATGCAAGCGCACGAAGCACTATGGCAGCGACTGATCCTCGAGCTGCACCGATCTTGACCCCTCAGGTATGGAATCCTAACTTCGTCCTGCCCCATGCCCCCCCTCCCCACTTTTGTCCCTCGCTTCCCTACCCTCCCGAAATGCCCCCCTCCCCCTTTACTGTTGATTGGAGCTAATACTAATGCCTCGGATGAGCTGCTATGGGTGCTATGCAGCGAAAAGCGCGCTTAAGGGCGTGCACCCCTCCTACGATTGGGACTTGTCGCTCTCCTAGCACCTAACCTACTATCACTAATTACTAATACCTTAATGCTCCTTAACAAATCGCCCCCCCTTTTTTCCCCCCCTTCATTCCCTGCTTAACTAATATTATTGGATGATTATCGGGTCACTCTACAGATTATACATGCAGGCTAACTGCTAATGGGATCTTGGTGAGCCTCACCACAGGTCTCCCACGCCACGTGGGATGGCCGTGTTGCATACCCCCCCCCCCCC